CCCTCTTTATTTTTCCTTTGGTCCTTGGGACAAAAAATATTTGTGATATGTGTGTTTTATAGCAGGCACTGCCTCTATTGGATATTTTGATTTTTTCTCTCAATCCTTCTCTAGTTCACAGACCTAGTATTTAAACATACTAGGACTTGAATATCCTAAAAGATACGTAGGAAAAGTAAAACAGATGGAAAGTTAGATATACTCAAGGAAAATTGAGAGTTAGTTTTTTCTTATGTTTTGAGGTCCATGATTCTTACAATCCATGCTTAATTTAATGATTCTATGAAGAAATATTTATAACAGGCTTGCTATTTACCGCCTGCTGTGCTATAGAGGGTCTCCATCTTGTTCAACAGTATTCTGAAGGACTTTACAGTATATTTGTGGACTGAAGACTTTTGTAATAGAAACAGTTCAAGTACAGGGTATTTGGAAAAAAACTAAATCCCCTTGGAAATGCATTAATCAGTAACTGGGATTTATAGGAACATGTAAACAAGATCCATTTGTAAATCAGGGTATGGACACTTATCCTGTAAAGGACAAGACAGTAAATATTTAAGGCTCTGTGGGCTAGACAGTCTCTGACACATTACTCAATTCTATTGTAGTTCAAAAGCAGCCATAGACAATGAATAAGTGAATGGACTCAGCGGTGGTCCAATAAAACTTTATTTACAAAAAAGAGCAGGCATGATGAATTTGGAGCATGAGCCATTCTTTGACAACTCCCATTATAAAGGAATTCTCCCAGCTCTTTCTATAATTGAATAAATGTTCAGTGTGCACCTTTCATGGCTCCAAGGCATGAATCAATCACCCTTGACCTTTGTAATACATCACCTTTGACAATGGAAATGGCAGCCACGACAAGATTCTTCATTCCTTTAAGGCCAAACATGAAGGGACAGCACAAACGTGGGGTTCTGGAGAGGTTCTCTCTGAAAGAAGTGACAAAGTGAGATATCTGGGAATCTGGGTGCCAGGGTGCCATTCTTCTTGATCACCTTGTATAATGCAAATCAGCAATTAATTCTATGCGGAATGAGGAATGTTACAGAGGAGTTCCAAATGCTAACCTGAACCTCACATTTAGAACACAACCATTTATTTGGCTTTCTGTAGAGCTCTGACTTCTTCAGACTTTCAAAATCCAAATAGGGCAGGATCAGAGAGGAAAATGAGTGAGTGTTATATGAGAAAAAGGAATATGTGTACATATTTACACATGTGTAGCTCTACCTACTAGATATCAGCACCCTCACCTCCACCCCCTTGGTTACGACAATCAAAAATGTGTGTAGACGTTGCTGAATGAATCCTGGGTCGGGAGGAGGGGGACGATGTAAGAGGGGAAAGTGTTATCACTGGTTTTAACACCCTAAACCCACCACTTTCCCCACCCCACCTATACCTCTCGAGTAATTCTTTATGGCCAGTCTGACTGAACCGAAGGGCCTCTTTCCAAAAATCTAATCCCTGTAACCTGACAGCACAGGGCCTTCCACAGGTGTTCTAGTTTCTCTTGCAGCTGGAATCTAGTTTACTCCCATCATTGGAATCTAGTTTTTCTGGATTAGCCATGGTCATAGGTCCTGTCCTTATCTACTCCATTCATTATTTCAGCATGCATCTGAGCGCCTACTATAGTCTAGATACTGGGCCCTGGGCACACACATCTCTCTCTGGTCCTCAGTAGTCCCGTCCAATCTTCTGGGGGAGACAAATGCATACGTGAACACCTGTCAGCCTTATGATGAGTGTCCCGAGAGAGGTGTGTGCGGGGTGCTATGCAATTAGAGAATATATTTCATTCACACTGAAGGTGGTCACAGAAAGTGGCCAAAAGGGAAGTGCCAGCTAAGCCAGCCATAGCTTTGAGGATAAATCAGAATGCAGTAGGTAGAGAGAGGACGAGGCTTGCAGGAAGAGGGAGTAGTGTATGGAAAAGCAAGGAGGAAGAAAACCTGGCTTCCGGCTATTGCATCACCACAGGGAGAGGAATGAAGCTGGGTCATAAGCAGGGGCCAGGTCTTGAGGAGCCAATGAAACCAGGCCAAGGGGTCTGCAGTTGATCTGGAAGGTTAACTAAAAGCCAGGGGGGTGGTAGGGAGAGAGCGCATTGACCTTGCAATTTAGAAAGACCTGAAGTGCAGAAAATGACAAATATGGGGGATCCGAAGAAGGCGCTCAGGCCCCCCTCGAGATAAACATCTGGTGTACCGTCCAATCGCGCCAGATGTCACCCTTGTGAATCCCAACGTGGGAGGGATTCTTGTCCCAGGAACATTGCCACAAACTGGCAAGTAGACAGGCTCACGGAAGGACAGCCCCTTCTTCCACAGAGGGGACCTTCAATCACCAAGGCAAGAAGAAACACCCTTTCCGCTGGAATCTAGGGCTTCACAGAGAGGCTGATTTCCCGATGGAAATGCAAAACACTGTATTTTTCCCAGCCAAAAAAAATAAATAAATAAAAAAAATAAAAAATAAAGAAAATGAATAAAGCTTCCTATTTGTAAAGGTATGGTTCGGCTAATGTATGGGTCCAAGGAGTGTTGCATGCCCGTGTCTTTGTGCACTGGCCGTGGAACAGCTCACTGTTTCTATGGGAATATGAATTTCAGGCTGACTTTCAGAACCCAAGCCATTTGTCAGCAGTGAACTGCACATGCCTCTGCAGGGAATGTGCAAGCAGAAATGACAGTTGGGATTAGAACTCTTCCATCTAGTAGGGGATCTGGAGCAAGTGAAGAGCATAAAATGCAAATGGAAATGAGCTCTAGGCTGTTCAGGCCCAAATCTAAGAGGGTCTGCATGCTCTCTGAAGGCCTGTCACCCGGCAGGTGCTCCGTCCGTGTTCGGAAAGGTGAGGAGATGGGTACACTGCAGTGGCTCTCCGCACCCACATGCCCGCTGGTTCGATGAGGCACAGGAAAGCAAGGACGAGACAGGCAGCGTGGACTTGCCCAGGACAGTGAAGTAAACCAGCAAGTCCCTTTCTCTTAGGAGCAGAAACCATAGGAACCCGAGGTGACTTTGATTACTGCATAATCATGTCAGTAGAGGGGTTCAAATTAAGTGAGTCCCATGGCCTGTTGTGACTTGTTTGAAGAGCTATTTGTAGCTGAAACATGGTAGCCTTCTTCCTTCTGACTCATCCATTAGTCAGAGGGCCCTAGTTTCCTAGAATTCTTTAAAAAAAAAATATATATATATTTTTTTTATTGATTTCAGAGAGGAAGGAAAAGGGAGAGAGAGAGATAGAAACATCCATGATGAGAGAGAATCCTGGATCGGCTGCCTCCTGCAAGCCCACAACCTGGGCATGTGCCCTTGACCGGAATCGAACCTGGGACCTTTCAGTTTGCAGGCCAATTCCCTATCCACTGAGCTAAACCAGCTAGGGCTTCCTAGAATTTTTCACGAAATTTCAATCGTAAGGGCCCCATTTTGCGTTTTCACTACTGATCTGATCCATCTGTTGCCTCTCCCCGTGGCAGCAGGCAACTTTTCCTCCCCAAAGCAGCGCTGGGATGAAGCTGTGGCCTCTTTTCAAAAAGAGGGCTGGCAGACACCTGCAGAATCAAGTCCAAACCTCTAGCCCGCAGAGCCCTCACCTGTATAAATTCACCCACCCCACCACCTGTGTAGACGAGTCAGTATGATGTCCTTAGTGTTTCTTAAATAGACAGTCTTCATTCCTTCATTCCTCTATGAGCACTTGGCTCATACCCCAGAGGCCTGAAATTCTCAATTCTTCCCCCTCTGCCTTCAGAGCGCATGTCTGAGTCTGGTCCTACTTGGTGCAGTAGAAGTCTGAGCTGATTTCAGCCCCCTCACTCCACTCCTTGCCTGGAATTATTCCATGTCCTCCATGGGCAATAGGGACAAGTCAGGGGATGACCCAAGGCCCTAGGAAGGTGCCTGGCACATTTTTCGGAGTTCAACAAATGTCTGTGAATTTCGCTGAAGAAATTCAACAGATCAAACATTGGACACTGTGAAGTTAAGATCATCACCCACTTTCTCCCTCTGACCAGGACTCCTCCTTCCCTCCCACCCCCCAAGTGAGAAAAAGCATCTAAATATTTCAACTTTGATCAAGTTAGCTTTGATATATAAAAGGCAGAACTTCCTCTTGAACCACAGAAATATGAACTCCCACTCCACCCACCGCCTACTCTTGCATTCAGGTTACTTGAAATATCACCGACCTGGATCATTTCTTACTAACGAAAATGTTGCATCCTCCCTGCCATAGCAAAGGTAACCAACCTTACCTCTACCCAGCCATGTCACCAACAGATCCTCCATGCGAGGAAAAATGCTTTTAAAAATGGAAGTGTGAGGATCAAGCACCTACAGGCAGGAACAGAACAACAGGTGCTGCCTGCAAACGCAGGACATCCAAGCGGACCTTCGGAGGGAGCCAAAAGCTTTCAGCCAACATAATGCTCTTCAGTTGTTGTTTCAGGGGCTTTTCGGTAACAAAAATTCCCCCTCCCCTTGGTCTTAACGTTTTTTCCGCTCACCACTTACTGAGTGTCTGACTTATCTGAGCCCGATCTTTGTCGCGGGCAGTCATCTCGCTCAGCGACCGGAGCAACCACGTTTCCTTAAATCAGAGCCCGATGGACTCTGCCCGCGAACTACATTACCCAGCGGACCCCGCGGCCTTCGCAGGAAGGACGTCTGCGCACAAGATACTCAGTTCCAAGTTTGGAGCTTTTAGCTGCCAGCCCTGGCCCATCATGTAGCTGCAGCACAGCCTTCCCTAACGTTGCAACTGGGGGAAAAATCACTTTCCAGTCTGTTTTGCAAGGTGTGCATTTCCATCTTGATTCTCTGAAAGTCCATCTGCTGCATCGGTCAAGAGAAACTCCACTTGCATGAAGATTGCACGCCTGCAGCTTGCATCTTTGTTGCAAAACTAGCTACAGAAGAGAAGCAAGGCAAAGTCTTTTGTGCTCCCCTCCCCCATCAAAGGAAAGGGGAAAATGTCTCAGTCGAAAGGTAAGAGCCTATTTGCATCCATTGCAAAAATGCAAAGGGCTGTGCATGCATTTATGAATGCACGGATGCAATTTTCGCCTAGCGATTGCATGTTTAAGTTTGAGGTTTTCCACAGCTCAGTTGCATTTCCTGTTTAGTGTGTGTCTTTTTTTTTTTTTTCTTTCTTTCTTTTTTTTTTTTTTTTTTTTTTTTTTTTGCAGACACAGAGAGTTCCTGTAAGGCAGGGCTTGCAGTTCAGCTGTGCATTGACGTTATTTGCATTCTTCTGCTAGGATTACTGAGCTCTTTTTGCCTTTTGCACAGTCAGGAGAGATAGAGCAGGTTGGTAGCGTCTAAATGTGCAATGCTTTATGTAATTATAAAATTCTTTGGTGTGCACGCATATTATAAGTAATTTTCTGTGCAACAGAAATACAAACTTTTTAAAAGTCTGTGGGTGAAGATGAAAGGTAAAACTCGAGTTAAAACTAGTAGGAAATTAATGTAATCTTATATTCCTTTGGGAATGAGCCGTCGCTGTGCCAGTATTTAGCTAAATTTCCATTGATACGCTTTGAACATTAAGCAACTTTTGATTTTTAAAGGAAGTAAAGGTGAAGTGTGCATAAGGGCATATTACAAAAAAAAAAAAAAAAGCAGACAAGGAGTCTTTCTCTTCGGAGATTTTGCACTTTACACTAATTGCTTATTGACTCACAGTATTTAGAAGCAGTAATGAGGACATTGGTGTTTTACGTCTTCCCATTTGGGAGACACTTTGCATCTCGGTAGGGGAAATATTGGGAGAAAGCTTTGCTTTGAAACATTACACCCGCGTGGAGGGACTGTCCTGTTTCCTTACCAACCATAATGAAATCTTTTAAGTGTCATTGCATATATTTAGTCCGTTTTAATAGGTCAGAAGTTCCGGGTTATGGTGTTTTGTTTTGTTTTATTTACTGTTATTTTTTCTCTTCTGTTTCTTTTTCCTTATTTATTTATTTATTTATTTATTTCTCACGGTTATATTTTGGAGGCTTAGGATCATGCTGGGGAAGGGATTAAAAAAATAAATTTCCTGACACGGCATCAGAGAGGGGGTGCTGTCAGGTGTTCTAGGACCCTAAGCCACTTGTTTCAGAACAAATCCTTAGCCATAGAGAGCAGGTATGCCAGGGAGAATGTCTGAGTGAGGAGGTGAGTTGCACAGCAGGTGAGTTAGGCTACCTGGGGGCACTGGGTAAGGAAGTATGCAGGGTAAGCACGAGGGTAAGAGCTGGTGAAATGAACGCGTCTCCTAAGCTTTCTGCCACTTTTTTTGGTAGCAGTTGCGCCGCTTTGTAGTTCTGCTGGATGGGAATCGTACATGTTATCCCAAGTGATATGTGTTCTCAAAAGTTCGAGGGAGGGCTCTGCTTTCCTTTGAGATGAAGAGAGCATGAACTTCGAAAAACCTGGGTGCTCAAGTACCTAGGCATTGGCCTTTGAGGGGCAGAGGTCCTTTAAGAAAAGGGGAAACCTACAGCCTCTTAATTGATCAGAGAGGTAACAGCTTAGAAGGGATGTTCCATGCTTTGTTGTATCAAAGAGATGGCATCTAGTGAGGTTGTATTGGTATAGATTCACTCATTCATTCAATCTAGTTTTATAGTTTAGCATTTGTATAAATATATCATGACATATATGTATATGCTAGTATATGAGTTATAATATAATAAATATAATATAATATAATATAATATAATATAATATAATATAATATAATATGTATCCCCACACACTGCGCAGTATTTGAGTGCATACAAAAGTATTTAAAATATAGTCGTTTGCATCAGGAAACTTGCCACGTGGTTGATGAAAGAAAGCATGCATTGCTGAAAGCCAGCATGTCATTATGATACAAGATAATCGCTTAGCTCGTGAGGAGAAATGACCAAAGTTGGAGTTGAAAGATCCCTCTGGGAGATAGGCAGGGAGATTTCAGGAGGAAAGTGGTGTTAGTCACAATCTTATCTCTGGACCTCAGGGTCTAAACCAAATCAGGTTTCTATTTGCATTTTTGGGGGCCCAGTCCTAAGGCAGAACCAGTTTTTGAGTTGGGAAGCTAAAAGAGATACTAGCATGGTCTTATGCTTCCATGATGGGTTTGCCCACCATAAATCAGGTAGCTTTCTTACTTGGGTTCCATTTGGAAGGTACATCTGGTGTGAACGTGGGGTCCCTGCCCAAAAGGCAAGTCATTGATAAAAATAAGTAGGTGATCATTTGAGAAATGTTACGAAGGAGCCCTAGCCTGGATTATTAAATGTGGAATTGGCCTCCTTCAGCTATGGTACTCTCAGAGGGCCAAGACATTTTTTATTTTTTTCTCAATACCAAACTTCTCTGTAATCCTAGAAGCAAATGAAATGGGAGGAAAAGTGAAAGGTGGATTCAACCTCTTAGCACATGAAGAATTTAACAACATGTTGAATGCGAGGCCCTTTCCGAACCTTCTAGATCACTATAATTCGGTTTTTACAGACCTCTAATTTAAGGCACAGCACAGGCAAAAGAATTACAGGCTCCCTGGGAGCTGGGAGGACCGGGTTGCTTCTTTCCAAGCCTTCCCAACAGTGAGATTCCGAGAAAGAATTTCTTAAAAAGAAATGTTGTTTTCCCACTGTTGTAACGTTAGGTGGTATGCCTTTCAGCTTGTTTATCTTAGCTGTGTGGGGTTGAGCTGACATTTTTCGAATATGAAACGTGGTAGCATGCCTTTTGAGGAAATCTGAAGTGTAAGTGAACAGGAAGGGTACCCAGAAAGTGCAGGAATTCCTGCATTTTACAGGAAGACAGGCTACAGGAAAAATGTGTCATCTACATTACCCCGGAGAGCAAAACTATTGTGATCAGCCATAATGATCCGAGAGAGGGAGGGAGGCAGCAGGGGAGGGAGGTCAGGCATTTCCTAGGTCACCTGAAAATACACAGAAAGTTTGCCCCCGTTCAAATGCACTCTTCCTCACCTCTTCCTCCATGCACCTTTAAAAAAACTAGCTTATCTTCGTTTAGTACAGTCAATATTAGAGAGTCCCTTTTTAAAATCATTTAAAAAAACAAAAAAAATCGCCTATAAAAAAATATAGTACTGGGTCAGTCATGACATGAGAAATGCCTGCAAGGCATAATCCAGAAGCATGCAGGAGAGTGATAGGCAAGGACTTAACCGCTCCATGGGTTCTTTGCGTTTGTAATTCATTCCAGCCTGGGAAATGAGATGTGCTAATTTCTCATTCCGTGCAAATTCCTTTGTCAGGTTGTGCCAGCCGGACTTGTCATGCTTAGCCTGTAATCGGAGCCAGTATGTTTTATACGCTCGTCTGTCTCGGGACACAGAATCAGAATAGGTACCTTGGGGTTCCGGAGCTTGTTGTGTATCGGTGTGGCCTTCAGCACTAGGCAACAAGCTGCAAGTCAGGGGCAGGGGCTTGCAGGGGGTCTCTGGTGGTAACTGCAATGCTGGAGGAAATGGCTAAGATCCTCATCCCTTTGCTTTTTTCAGATTAGCCTTATTGGAACCATTTTTCCGAGTTCTAAAATCTGCAAGATCTATAAGGATTATTTTTAAAACTTAAAAAACACATGACTCATACTTGTTCATTATAGAAATATTCAAAAATATGGTAAAGGAAAATAAGAATCACCAGTTACGGTTTTAGCGTATGTGCTTCTGGATTTTTTTTCCTTCTATATGTATATGAATGAATTCAAAATATGTATAAAATTAATTTGTATATAGTTACCTTTCATTTTACTTCCCAATGTTCTCTGAAATATTTCCAAGTTAACCTGTTTCACCATTCTTAATATCTAATTCTATTGTATTTATTTAAATAGAACTTTGGTGTTTATTAACTTGTTAAAAATTGAGGTATAATTAACATACAAAATTATATTAGATTGAAAGGGTGTACAACATGATTCAATATCTATCTATATAAAAGCCTAAGCAACTGTTTGACTGTTTGACCGTTCGACTGGTAGCTATGACGTGCAATGACCACCGGGGGGCAGATGCTTAATGCATAGGTATGGAAACATGGGACAGACTGATGAATCTCAGAGGGGAGGAGGTGGAGGGAGGGCAGGAAGAGATTAACGAAAAATCTATATGCTGTAGAAGGCCAGTGCACAAACCCGTGCACCAGGCCTCTAGTTTGTATATATTATGAAATGATCACAAGTGTAGTTAATATCCATTGCCATATATTAGTTGGAGATACTGTGTGTAATGAGAACTTTTAAGATTTACTTTCTTTGCAACTTTCAGGTATGCAACACAGTATTATTAACTATAGTCACCATGCTGTGCATTATATGCCCATGATTTATTTATGTTATAACTGGAAGTTTGTATCTTTTGACCACTTACACCCATTTTGCCCACCCCACCAATGTGTTCTGTGTATCTATGAGTTCAGTTTTTGCTTTTTTAAATTTTTATTTCACATATAAGTGAGAGCATATGGTATTTGTCTTTGTCTAATTTATTTCACTTAGCACAATACTGTCAAATTCTATACCTGTTGCAAGAGGCAATATATTATTCTCTTTTATGGCTGTATACATGTGAAATCATATATGAATATAAATATAAATATACATATACACATATTCATATACATATACATATATATATTCTGATTTTTTATGTATAATGCTCATAGTTTTTTTCATTCATCTATTGAAGGACACTTTAGTTGTTTCCATATCTTGGTTATTGTAAATAATGCTGCAAAGAAGCATTAACTTCCAATATTATGAGTATTACCATGATGATCATCCCAGTTCATATGTTTTTGTGCATTCTGTGGCTTTAGACTAAATTGCCATGGTTATCCAGTTCTTCTCTACTCTCCATTTTTGTCTCCACCTTTTAAATAGCTTTTTAAGTTATTGTAAAATGATATATACTCACTGTAAATAAATTCAAACCAAAGAGAAATTCATTATAAGGAAATAGAATCCTCATTCACACA